AAAGCTTTGTCCCTCACCACATGATAATTAAAATATTTGTGGTTAGTAACTACATCGCGTTCTTCGATCTTTAAACTAGATTTAACCTATTGTTTCACCTATTACTTATTTATATTTTTATCTTTTTATCTTTTCGTATTTTTTTATATTTTAAACGCAAGGCGTTTAACGGGGGGGAGTATGTATGAATTTTGATTACAAATATATGATGACAAATTTCTATTGAGCAACCCGCGTGTCACGTATCGCAACATTCGGCGTCACAAACATTTTGGGTCGCTAGGCAAGGTGTTTTTTATATTTTATCTTGAAATGAAAACCCTTATTAGTTAGTAGAAAGAATAGTTTTTTATTATCATAATTGTTAATTTGTTCCTGTTCGTGTTAATATTACACAAACATAAAAGTTCGCAGTTTTTTTATTGACGCAGCTAGTTTGAAACCCAAAATTTCGAGCTGTGGCCAGTCTCAGAATTGGCACTTGTGATGAGGATGTAGCCAGCAGTATCATCCCCTTTCAATTCTGATGCAAGTTACAATTAATAGATATAGGCGTATCTACACCGTATGGCTTGTATATTTTTTTCCTAACCAGTATATGAATCGTTTACACTAGTTCTGGTATTATAAAAGTATAAAAAAGTTGCTTCTAGTGTGGTTATTTTAAATATATTAAATCTGACAAACACAAAGAAAAAATCGTTCTATATGTGTCCGGGAGTGAATTTTGAAACGAAAAGAACGTAGTGATTATAAACAGTTAATGAGTGAACTCATTGTTGAAGATTCAGCTGGATTTTCCAATAGTAATGTAATTATGTGAAACAGTTGTAATGCAATGCAATAATTAACTAACTAGTTATATTAATATAATAATAGAAAAACGATCACATTTGAGCAAAATAAGAAATAACTAAATTTAATTCGATTAATCTAATTAGGAAACTAGAGGAAGAAATAAACGTCAAGAGTTTGCAATTAGAGAGTTTCCTGTTAGAAAGTTTGCATCCGATTATGAAATGAAACATCCAGGGAATAAGAAAAGAAGAAATGGTATAAACTTTTGAAGATAAAATCTCCTGTTTATTCATCGGCCGAAGTTGGTACAGGTCGAACTGCAATAACTTTGTGAAAGGAACCCTTTGTTCATGAAATCAAAGACTGAAGAACGGCACATTGTTATATTCACTTATTTGAAGATAAAAACAATTATGAACAATTTACTTTCTTGTAGGAAATTTAAGACTTCATGCTAGTAATTATGGTTTTCAAAATGAAGTGAGTTGATTGAAGGTCGAAAAGAGTGTGTTATGTGAAAGATATATGTCGACTCCGAGGCATGTTGTCGTATCGAAGTTCGAAAGTGAAGTGACTAGAAGCGAAATCACGTGTACAGTGGAAGGCAGAGGCAGGCAGGCGGGCCACTCGTCGGTTCTTGTATGTGAATGCTCGTGTCTAACTGACGAGAATTACATCAGCATTTGAAATTCTAAACTTTTTTTTTAATTATATTGAGTAGTAGAAAAAAAGAGAGAGAGATGCTGCTATGCAATAGATAGAGTATATATTAAAATACTTTGGATTTATGGCGTACGTGACCTTGATCATGTTTGCAGAAAATATGTTTTGTTTGTACCTACTATATTATTAGAGCGAGCTTTGATTACAAATAGCTTGAACACAGGGGCGGTTTAAACTTAAGGATATGTTATGAAATTGAAATAAGCAGTTTCTAAAATTAGAATAGCAATGACTTTTGAAAAACTTTCGATATGAAGAGAACACAAGACGAAGAACTGTTATTAATACCTTACACCCTGTATCAATAATAATATGTGAATTCAATGCAATTTCTGAAATGACCTGACAAAGTACAATAAAGTTTAGAGTATGTATACGTTTTGTATTGTTGTGTGTCGACATTATTCTAACAATATCTATCTTATTTATACAAAAATAGGATACATATACTGCAACAATTGAGCTTAAAATAACTCAAAATCAATACATAGGTGATAAGGCGTCTGTTTTCACACAATTGCAGTCAGTATAATTCCTGTAAAATGATTACCTACTTAGTATCTGTATACACAAATATAAGAATAATTTAGCGAAATATTAAAAAAAAAAAGAAACAAAACCAGTACCAGAAAAGCAGTAATGTTTAAAAAAATGTTACCTATTGTCATGAACTCGCGACATAATATTAGTAGGTATATTGTAGGCCTATTTTAGAAAGACCAGTGAAACTCAAGGGCGTACATAAGAGGGGGGTAATGGGGGTAATTACCTCCCCCCCCCCCCCAAGTTATAGTTAACATCAATATTTTTTTAAACGTTATATTAAATAAAAATAGACAGATAAAATAAATACAATAAAACAAAGAGTCTCTTAAACATTGTCATCTATAATAATAATATTCCTGCAAATTGAAAATTAAAATTTATATACAGGGTCCAATTAGTGCGTAATTGTTCAATATTTAAATTTGTGTTATTAACAAGTAAAAAAGTTTTAATAAAAATTATATGGATTAGAAAAGTACATATTTTAAAAATATTTTTGGATATACAGGATGTTTCGTTCTGTCTGACAAATAAAAATGTACGTTTTTTAAATAGAACACCCTATATTTTATTTTATTTTTAGAATGGCTTGGGAATACTGTATTTAACCCTAGAAAATTTTTAAAAAATATTACTGTGTTGCCAAACAATTAATTTTTTTTTAAATTAGAGAATGATGCAGACTCCAAATTAAATTATCATAATTTAGGTAGGTTTACATTAATATCCAAATTGTTTAATATACAGACTTATAAAATAATAAGTTAATGAATAGAGGTGATACAGCTGGTTTATTCCATGCAGAGTGATTTGAAACATGTCTTAAATATGGCTAATTTTTAGTTCAATTTACTCAATTTTTTCAAACGCAACACTGTATATTATATAAATAAAAGTTTCCTTGGTTTATTCGATCTTTTTTTAATTTTTAATTGTTTAGCACAGCACTACATATGTTTCGGAAAACCTTTCCATCTTCGGGTGCAGTCATAAATTAATAAAACATGGGGACGATTACAAACAAATTAAAAAAAAATTTAAAATATATTATCTTGGCATAAAATTCCCTATAAATTTGCCTATGTAACAATACCAATGTGTTAGTCAATAATACATATACAGGGTCTCCCATCAGTGCATAATTGATCGATAGCTGTTTCATTATTAGAAATTTGAAGAAATGTTTATTATAAAAGTTGTATGACCATATTTAACAAATATTCCTAAATATACAGGGTGGTCCATAAACGAGATGCTGACCAAATCTATACTTTTTTAAAGCAAAATACCCTGCAGTTGATTGTTTTCACATCCTTAAAAAATGAGAAACCCCTCACTTTGAAACACCCTATATACAACATAGCAAATAAATTAAGTCTATTAAAGTTGTTTACCGATGTGAAAATAATTAAATATGAACCACCCTGTATATTTAAGGACATTTATTAAACATGGTCATACAACTTTTATATTAATTTGTTTTTCCTTTTTCCAATAATAAAACAGCACTATTGGGACATGTTGGTATCGTTGGATAGGTAAATTTATAAGAAATGTTATGCTAAAATAATATAGTGTGTTGCATTTGACAAAATTGAGCAAATTGAACTTATTAGCCATATTTAAGACATATTTCAAAACAGTCTGTATAATATAAATCAGTTATATCACCTCGGAAATGGAAAGGTCTACAAAGATCCCTTTTTTGTGACAAATGGCGTGAGAAATATTTATTAATATTAAATTTTATGAAATATAGGGTGTTCAAAAAGTTTTGAATAAAATTGTTTATTTAGCCCTTCATTCTACACCAATGGGTTATGGTAATTTATCGAAATAGTGTGTTAACTAATAATAACGATTACCTATAACATACATATTTTTAAAGCCTTTTCTGTAAGGGAAGATATTTAGAAAAATATGTATTTATGAAATTTACTTTATCACTCTGTAGAATGAAAACTGGGTCGTTAAAGGAAAATTATATTTAGCTTTTCTTTATAATTGATTAAGATCTACAAATCCCCAAAATTAAGGTACTTTATTCTGAAACACCCTGTATAAATATATAAAAAATTAAAAACTTTATTATAAAACTCACTCTTTTTCTGATATTACACATATGAACACTAGAGGTTGCATTCTTACTATATTCAAAGATAATACGCTGCGCATTCACCAATAATGTAAAAAGTGTTACCCCCCCCCCCCCAGAAAACAACCTAGCTACGCGCTTGCACTGAAGACGGTAGAATTTGCTACTTTCTGTCTAAAAGAAATCCTAGGTCTGAATAAATTTGTTAATTTTTGCAGAACTCATGAAAATGACTCCTTGGAATAACAGTAAAATACATCAATACATTTTTTTATACAATAATAATCTACTTACCACATCGATTATTTTGCATGCTTATTATCAGAGTTAATTCGTTTATTATAGCAGAAAGAGATGACCGAATTTATCAATAATAATTGCCTCCAAAAATTACAGAAATATACGCATTTAAGACGCTATTTTTGACAAGCTTTATCTTTTGTTTTATCACGCGGACAATCCAAGGCTAATGTGACTTAGAAAGAAGAATTAATTTGAATAGTTTTACCGTGTTTTGTCTAACGTGGCCCCTCTGTGAGTCGCAATGAGGCCCCAATAATTTAAACTATTTTACATTTTTTAATGATCCAAAGTAATGATGTATTACAGCTTTCTGTAAATGGGAAGACGATTAAAATACAACAATTAGAAATTATCTAAAAATAGTCAAACGATCCATGTTTGGTTAGGCAAGACTGGCAAGAGCTTCTTCAAGATCAATAAACCGCGTCAATCATGGAATAGGTATACCTGATCTATTGTTAATTCCCAGATTCAAAGCTACGATGTCTCGACCCACAGGTATTTTTATTTTTGTTAAAATTGTAAAATCTCTAACCTGATATTTATTGATACTATCCAACTGCTCCTTCGTGGGTTCGACTACTTGGGGTGGTTTGACCGCGCTGGTGGCGTTATTAATTGGGGAAGTGATGTTATTGTTGGTGATCCGAGCAGGTAGTTGCGGTGCAGGTGCCCTATTGATAATCCTGCCATCCTTTTCTATTTTGAGGTGATCCCTCGGAGGAGGTACGGGTTTTGTTGCGACGGTTTCGGGCGAATGGAAGACAGAACTATCGTTCGGACCACTCTGAAGAAAAAAAAATATAATAATAAATAATTTTCATACGCTATTCTACGATTCATCGTTATTTGTTTGTATACTATTTGTTTATCGATGTTTCTATACCTATTAATGTTATCTTCTTTGTGATTCAGATTTAATAGGTTCAGTGCCGCACCTATAAAAGGATCCATCTATTTCATGAAATTGATTCAAAACCTTTTTTAGCAGTAACTTGAAATCATTACTCTGCTACATCATGGTAATTAATAGGAAGTCGTTTTTCTACTTTATTAAATATATCTGTTATTTACGGTTGTAGAAGAAAACTCTTGAAAAGGTGCTTGTACTTTATAGGGGGTCAGTTTTTTACTTTAAGGAATATCCCGGTTATTTACGATTGGAGAAAAAATTTCTTTAAATAAAAGTTGTTTCCGATATCGTTCTATAGTTTTTTTTTCTATACATGATTTCTCTAAAATTTGAGGAAAAGTGTAAAATTTTAATTTTTCATTATTTTCGTTGGTAATGAATATGTATAAAAAAATGTTAGTAAGATGTGTGTGGAAAATGTATGCATTTAGTTCATCCTTTAAAAATTTACATGCGTGATACACAGAGATAACAGAGATATAAGCAGTCATTGATAAAATATAATATTCACGATGCCAACATTAATTCGACAATCGATACATTCTATTTCTAGACGCGGGGCGAGGCGACGAAAGGTGAGAAGTAAGAGAAGGGATAAAGAGAATAATTTTATGCAGTCACAACTTATTTTTATCAATGAATAAATGTGTAAGCCGCTGCGCGCTTATAATACACAACATAAATTTCCATGCCCTGTTGCCACTTCCAATCTAACATCACTAGGTTTTGGAATTTATTGAAAATTATTACATCTAATTTAGTGAAATTACATCTAATTTAGTTAAATTTAATATAACTAATATTCAAAATTTTTTGGGTTCAGTTGCAATAAAATAGGTAGAATTATTTTAGCTTTTTAAATATATGTAAATAATTTTGTAAACAAAACTAGAATAATGAAATAGGCATATGACAGCGGATATTATACCCGTCTGTGTCCCTTAGAAGATGTCTTATTCAGGGCTGCACGATATTTTTTAGTAGTTACATCTACTCGTTACCTCTGGTGATACAATAGGTTGTATAAAATAACCAGAAGAAGCCTGTAATAACTAGATAGGAAAGTCATGTGTTGTACACATCAGATTTTTATGAAAATGTACAGGATCTCTTAGTATATAGTGACCAATAAAACAGAATCAGTGTTGTTACAAATTGTTTTAATTCTAGAAGGGTTCTGCACCTCTTTGGCCCCCTACTTTTTTATACAATACAATTCAGTTAAAAACAGGACGCCACTAAAATCCTACATCTGTATTGAATTTTTATTTGTTCCCTAGTATTTGTTTGTCAAAAGTCTTAATACTTAGTTATAGGCCCCATAGTGAGAAATACAATGAATGGTTCTATTGATCTACTCAATATTTGTTCACGATTTTTTTTACTATTTTACAACTTCATATGCCGCGTTTGAGAATCCACATCGGATGCATTTTTTACATCTCGAGCGTTTTTTTATCCACATCGGACACATCTGTCCCATTACAGTTACGTATACTGAATCACGTGATCAAAGATTTTTTACATCTCAGATGCATCCGATGTGGATTCTCAAACGCAGCAATTGATGATCGATATTACAAGGAAATAAAATAGTAAAAAAAATCGTGAACAAATATTCAATGGTTTAAGATCAATAGAAAAACTTAATTGTGAATATTTTTCACTATAACCTTCCTTTAGGGTCCATAACTAAGTGACAAAAAAATCATAACACATGTAGGATTTCAGTGGCGTCCTTTTTTTAACTGAATTTCATTGTCTAAAAAAGTAGAGGATCAGAAGGGTGTAGAACCCTTTTGAGAACCTACAGAAATAAAATAATTTTAAACGCCACTGACTCCATTTTATTGGTCACTGCATACTAACATCTCATATATGTTTTCATAAAGATATGTCAAGCCGTTTTAGATTGAGAGCAAAAAATCACTTCTAAATTTTTTTACTATCCTTTTTAATAGAATGCAAGGTAATTTAAATCGGCTTATCTTCAATCGCAAAAACTGTGGTTAAATTTACTGTACAATATACAGGGTGTCCGGGATAATGTGGGAGGTCTCTCGGATTCAGATACTAACATTAAAAAATAAGATGACAAGTTCCCATAATTTTTTTTAGTAGTAAGAATCTCTTAAAATACTGCCCTTAAAACATAATTAGCTTGTTTAGTTTACCAGGGGCGGACTAGGTTGTACATTTTAATGTTTACATTTTTAACACCCTGTATGATAAGGAATTAAAAAAATTAATTTCGATACCTTGAACATTAGGCTAAAGAAAAGGTACTCTGCTTCATTGTCGATAAAATGAACCGTTTTCGAGAAAAAAATTAAAGAATATATGTTTTATTTTTATTAAAAAGAAACATGATTTCCAATTTTTTTTTGTCTGCAACAAAGTGTGATACGAAAGTCATTGAAATAGAACTGTTATCAATGTTAAAAAACGCACTGTTTTTACAAACGTTAATAATATGGTACCTACGAAATAAATAAATGAATAATTGCATTGACGTGTGGATTTTTAATCTTGTTGACACGTTGATATTTTAGTACTCCGATATTAATTTATTGAATTTTGAATATATTGACAAATTTATTTCGATAATGGGATATACATTTAGTGAGTATGCAGATATGCATCTTAAGGTCTTGCATCTTGCAATGCTTATGAAGCAAGAAGGTTGTATGGAGAAAGATATCCTAATCGCAATATTCCAAATGGGAAAACATTTCAGCGACTTGACCAACGTCTAAGAGAGAGACTGGTGGGCGATTCCCAGTTAATAAGGTAACATTATTGACTTTCTTTAATAATTTTTAGGAAGTTTTGGAAAAAACAAGTACTGATGCTGGTGTGACAAGAACAGTACGTACGGTGCAATTGGAGGAAAATATTTTGGATACTGTAGCTGATACTCCTTTAATAAGCACTTGAAGATTAACCGCGCAGCTTCATATGTCAAAAACGACAATTGCTGAAGTACTTAAAGAACAGTTGTTATAACCTTATCACCTGCAAAAAGTTCATCAACTACTTGCTGAAGGTTTTCTTCGAAGAATCTAGTTCGCAAACTCGCTGTCAGATCAGCAACGAATAAACGGAAACTTCATTAGCACTATTCTTTTTACCGATGAAGCAGGGTTTACCAAAAATGGTATTGTAAATTTACATAACTCGCATGTATAGGCTGACGAAAACCCTCATGCCACTGTTGTTCATCATTATCAACATCAGTCTCAATAAATTAATGTTTGGGCAGGAATAATCGGCACTTTTTTGTTTGGACCATGCGTACTGCCGCCACGATTGAATGGTGAACTTTATTTACAGTTCCTTCAGAACGCATTTCTGGATTCAGTGGGGTATTTGCCACTTGAAACCCGCCGAAGCATGTATTTTATGCATGATGGAGCCCCACCTCCCTTTAGTGTCGCTGTACGGGACCACATCAATAACGTCTACCGAATGGTTGGATAGGCAGAGGAGGTCCAATTGCCTGGCCTCCACGGTCTCCCGACCTAACGCTAATGGATTTTTACCTGTGGGATCATCTCAAAACCTTGGTGTATTCCTCTCCGGTTGATATTAGGGAGGAACTTTTACAGAAAATCACAATGCTGGGTTGTTGTGGCGAGTACAGCAGTCCTCTATTCATCGGGCCCGCGAGTGTATCAGAGTTCACGGAGCACATGTTGAACCCACTTATAAAGTTTTTAATTAATTAATTAATTAGTGAATTTAGGTTCAATCGTTACAAGCTTTAGTGAGTTCATGATGAAAACATAATACTCCAAGTTGTATTTTAGAATTTACCAATTTGAAATTAGCTAATTCTGGGAGTTTAATTTAAAAAAAATAAATAAAACGTTAATTCTTTTATTATAATTTTTTCTCGAAAACGGTTCATTTTATCGACAATGAAGAAGAGTATCTTTTCTTTGGCTTAATGTTCAAGGTATCGAAAGTTAATTTTTTTATCATACAGGGTGTTAAAAATGTAAGCATTAAAATATACAACCTAGTCCGCCTCTGGTAAACTAAACAAGCTAATTATGTTTTAAGGGCATTTTTTTAAGAGATTCTTACTACTGTTTATCATATTAAATTTTCATTAAATCATATTACGTAGTTTAAAAGTTATTCAAGAAAAATTGATTTCCAGTGGCGTCCTTGTGGAGGCCGTATCTCCGTAGGGAGGGCCGCTAGGAAAAAACTTTATGGGAACTTGTCATCTTATTTTTTAATGTTCTATCTGAATTAGAGAGACCTACATTTTTTCGGACACCCTGTATAAGCTATGTTATCTTAGAAAGTATTTAAAGATTATGGATAAGGTGATTGTACATATATAATTTTTTGAAACTATCTTCAAGGATAAATTATTTTAATTCTGCTTCTTTGCAAGTATGAACCCTCTTTTGTTACGTCAGTGGATAAGGCGCCATCATACACTTGTATGGTTATAAACACAGAACCCATGAGTTATCTGGTATCTTGGATGTGTGTTATCATGATATCATTTATCATTATCAATAATTGTTTGTAAAATAATTGATTATTGTTTTAAAACAATATTGTATCGAATACTTAATACTTATCCAAGCAGAAAGCAATGTATAACAAATTACTTCACCGTTAAGTTATTCAAATAATAATATTGTGTCATTCGTTAAATCAGTTTGTTAACCAATTTCTCCTTATATGACCCAGAAATATGTAGACAGTTTCTCTCGGAAATTTTAGGAACAAAAATGGTTCGATTTTCAATATATAAATATGATAGTAGGGAGAGGAACGTACAGACAGAACGTGCAGACAAGGCTGAGAAGAAGTTAAAAAAAAAAATATAATTCTAAATTATTTTTTTTTTT